ATGGCCCGAGTCTCGCCACGTAAAATAAGACAAATTCAGTTAAATAAGACATATCAATAGTTTTTATTTTATGTAGTCAAAAAACAGTAAAAACTATGCGACGTATGGGGGAGAAGATCATTTGCACACGTTTTATTGAGTTCTAGAATCCCTTCCCATCATTTAACTATAAATAGTTGAAATATTAAAATAGTTACATAAATAAAATTTAAACAAGCGCGATATTAGTAACATTTGAATGACTAATAATTTTCGTTCCCGAGTTATAGAAAACTTATTTGCAAAGGTAAACGAACTTCAGATGTGATTTTTCTTCATTGCTAACAAAATAGTAACTCTCCCTTACCTCTACTCCCACCATTACATTTTCGTTCAGAAGCAAAACTAAGGGCCATCTCAACATTTGCTCAATGTATCAGGGAAACCGGAAAAAACCTGATCGAAGTGGTGTCATTGACCCAGAAGCTGAAGTACATTATTTGTTACAAGCACATGAGCCCTTTTTTAAAAACTAATACACAATGCAAATATAAACTAATTCATTATATTGGTTTTGTTAAAATAAACTTCACCCAGGAGGCATAAAGAAACAGATTGACTTGGAAGAGTGTTTGAGGAAAAAGGACTGAGAGATTTCATGTCCGGAAAGTGGTGTTCTACTTGTAAAAAAAAAAAAAAAAAAAAAAAAAAAAAAAAAAAAAAAAAAACCCACACACACACACAACACTTTCATCTTCGGGACAACATAAAATGTCTGAGTAACACAAATAACTATTTTGGCTTCTACAAAACGAAGTTTGGAAATCATTCATCGACGTTCAAGCATTGGTGACGCTAATGTGCGTGCCCAGCATCAAGTTGCGGAGCTGAATGAAGCTTTGGTGCTCTGTGACGATTGAAGAATTACTTGCATTCAACAATGGCACAACAGAAGCTCAATTACATGCACACAATTTACTTACCGTCGGACCAAATATCCTGCGGGCGAGATCGATCTGGAGTTGTAGTCCCACAAAGAGATGTCAAGGTATTCCATAATGCAATATGTAAGTAGGAACTATTTATTGGCATGCATCCTCTTCCATGGAGCCTTACTATCACACATCAGCTGTGTCGTAAGCAGAGACACAATGAGTATGAGAATTCTAATGGTCCATGCAGTATAATAATAGTCACCATTACACAATCAAGTACATTTGCATTTTTCAATAAAAATTTAAACTGTTTCATTCGCTTTCAATTTTCCTTTGTTTCAGATTGAACAAAACCCCAGAGGCTGTATAGTTTTCTTTCAATATATGCATGCATTGTCAATTAGTAATATAGGTGATTAACAGCCGGGAATATATTATTATCAGACGCGAATCCATGGGGAGGGAAATTTCCTCAAATCTACCGTTATATTCGAACTGTTTGGGAACTGTCCCCAAAACTACCATTATGTATGTTTAATGAAAGTTTTGGAGACATCTATAAGGGGACCTCATCTCCAAATCTTTCAATATATTTATAAAACCCTCCCCCAATTTCGGCTTGGTTTTGCCCTTTATTTTTCTGGTTTCTAATTTTCAAATGTTTTTTTCTTCTATTTGTTGTTATTCTGAAGATGAGTGGGTTTCAACTCAGTTATTCAGTGAATAGTCAACACTGTTTTTGCACTCATACTTGAAGTTAAAAATTTGGGTAGCTCCACGTATTCCCATGTACTTCAATGGAAGTGAAATTGAACCAGTGCATACTAAACTAGTAAAATATGAATTTGTTTCTTCATTAAACATTGCTGAGGTAACACACAATCTTGGCATCCAGTTTGTACAGACTTAAAAACAGAATTATTAAATATACAAAATTGTGAACAAATTCAGTAAAAAAAAATTCATTGACTTTTGTATTTTTAAATAATTACTTGTCTATTATCAAAGGCCAATCTTACTTACTCTCTATTTAATGGGTATTCATGAAGAATCTTTTCCTATCAAACTCTGACTACAAGGGTTAAATTTGTTTTGAGATTTCAAATGATTTAATTCAAATTTTGGGTGCTTGGTTTTCCAAAATGCTTTTTCTCCTCAATAAAGAACTATTAAATTTGTACCATATTACATATAATTTTGGAAATATACTTGGATTACTTTAAAAGCTTTCTATAAATTTTTGGAAAGGCATTTGAAAAACTAGTTACTTTTTATAAAGGCAGGTTCCAGATCCATTATACATTCTGATCTTAAAAAATGGCTAATATTAACTTGGACACACATTTCTTACCGAAATAATTGTAATTCAATATTCTGATATTGAAAATTGTATTGAAATTGGTTAAAAACCTACCATGCCATGAAATAAAAACATAACAAATCAGCATAACAATTAAAGAATTGACATATTTATTGAAATAAAAAACACATGAAAAAATTATATCCTTACCATTTATTTTGTAATCCTCCAAGTCAACTTTCTTCAGCTGTTCCATGCTTCTAAAATATTGACATTTTATTTTCTGTGGAATAATATTTCTAATCTTGCAAAAAAGTAATATTTTCATCATTAATTTTTTTGCCCGAGGAGCATAGGAAACTAGTTGGTCAATTAAATTTGTATCTGATTAGATATCAAAGAGATGGAAAATGTATCAATTCATGTATGAAGTGGATCTTACAGGCCTTCTTACCCATTTTCCACTATAAAATTTACTTTGTAAATTTATAAAATTATTTCTGCTGACAAATTATGATACTCTCCTTCGTAATCTTACTTTTGGCAGATTTACATAATTATTTCACTTTTGAATTCTTTAACAAGCAATCAAAGCACTTCCCACTTTGTGGGCATTGGGGGACTGTCTCAGCTGGATTATTTGCTATGAATTCAATTTTCTTTCCCTTTCATAGTGTTGATTTCCTTGTCCTACCAACCATGTGTTTTTTCTGCTACGAATTCACTTGGCTAAAGGACTGGTTTGTGGTGTTTGTGTTTCTTATTCAGTCTATTCTGAATGGTCACAATATTATATATATATAATAATAAAAAAATCGAGATATTTTAATGAAATCAGCACCTTTTTCCACAGAGTGTCAAACATCAGATCTAAATAAAATGGCTTAGAATACTATTGTGTTTAGGTACTGTGATTAGAAAAATGATTTATGGATAAATGACAAAATATAGTGGCATGAAGACATAGTAGCAACAGATCTGACATCTAAAATATCAGAGGAATTGTTTCAACTAGAATTGTCGTTTTGTAATGACAGATAATTGTGAAAATATACATGAAATGTTGACAGCATGTATTACTGACATTAAATATGGCATTGGGCATATTTAATTTTATATATAATGCAGATAATGTCTGTACCGTCATTCCATCTCAAATAAAAGACATATTAAAGAGCTGATCTAAATAGCACAGATAACCACGGAAGTACTCTGTGTTGAATGGTTCACTTCATAACTGAATATTATGCAAGTCATGAAGGTTTTTATCTTGTGAGTCGCATGGAAAGCAATAGCAAACCATCACATATGCCACAAAATAATCATTTCCTAACTCATTGTTGCTTAATGGTATAATGCCTCAACCAGCCAAAAGTGCACCATAAAATGCCAGAGAAACATTTGCAAAATGTTTGTACATATGGGAAAGCTCCCATTTGTTACAATAAGAATGAGTTCATGTTTTCATCATTTGAGTGATTTGATTCATGAATGAATAGTTTTGCATCATCAATAAGACTGAGTTCATCATTTTCACCATTCAATGATTAATGATCAGATGTTAACATAGTAAACAGTTATCACTTTTTCTTTTAATTATGCTTCTAAATTTTCCTCATTTACACAGTGTCTCTAAGACTCATTCAGTGGAGTCACAGAAGAATGGATGCTCCTTGCTTTAATAGGGAAACAATCCATTTTTGTCATGTAATTGGACATGTACAATAAAGAGAAACCTATCTTTTATCTTCAGTGGAGTATTACTCAAAAACAAAACAATTAATTGATTTCCTCAGGCTCCAATGATAATCCAGATCAAAATGTAGCAAGGGATTAAAGATCTAACTTCATGAAGTTTTATTGGAGCAGATAACTAAATTATTACAGAAATGGGATAACAGCTATTGTAAAACAAAATAAAAGTAAGTGAAGACTAATTATTTAATTTGCAGGGATGTATTTTTATTTTTTCCATCTCATGTTATTTATTCTTTTTGATCTAGGTTACGTTTGATGACAAATACTACAAATTATTTATAAATTTCATACAAATTTTTTTGCAAAGTTAAAGAGGAGCTTCTATGGGTGTTATTTATAGACATCACTTTCTAATTTGTCTTAACTTTCTTTTGCCTTCAATGGAACCTTGTATAAAGAAATAGTAGAAACTATTAAATGAAGTCTTGTAAAAAAAAAAATCTGTAGCACTGGCTAAATATTTTAAGGTAGCAATTGCCGAGCAAGAGAATTCAGGTGACAATTTCATCTTTGAGTAGTATACATTGAAATGTAATGATCTTTGAAATTATTATTCTCTTTTCCCACTTACTGGAACAGAATAAATAAGTAAAGCACTGCCACTAAAAAAAATCACAAATTCTAGTAAAAAAATAAAATCGCCATAAGTTTGAAATATTACCAACTGGAATATCACTGACTCACTTAATCTTTCTTTACAGATTATCCTGCAATATTGATGAGGACATGATACGGCATAGATCTGAATGTAATAACAATATTGAATAAGAAAGATTTATCTATTATCAATTTCAAGCTTTAACAATAAGCTTGTCATGATTGTCACATGGATGTGATATACTGTAAAACAGAGGAATTATAACATTTTAACAGTGTAGAAATATAGAAACAGTGCACTATGTAGTGAGGATTTCCAACTCAACCAATCTTGTGTCTGTTGTATTTTTTATACAGGACTGGGAGAACAAGCAATCCAAGTTATGAAAAACGTGATTACAAACTAGTGAAATAAATTTTATAAATACGCCACTCTATCTAAAATGTTATGCCCTAGATGAGCATATTCCCTGATAATGTTTAAAAATCATAGAAAAATGTGTGAAATGTATGTACAAGTTTCATACCTTCAGGTACTTCCAAAACAGGTTATACAATTGCCTAAAGACATCTCACAAATGCAGAATGGTACATGTACAGGGAATAACACTACAAGGTATGGAAATGTAGAAATAGTGCACAAGGTAGCAATGACTTTACACCCAGTCAATTACTTGCTTTAGTTTTATGTATTGTCATACTGCAATGGGAGAGCAAGCAGTCCAGGCTAAGCAACATTGCCACTGTAGACTGGACAGCCTGAATCTACAGCATGAGGTTGCACAATGGATACACCCAACCAACCATTCAATCAGCCAAACAAACTGAAAAGAACCAACCAAGCAATCTGAACAATATTTAAGACAACACACAACTACTGACAAAAAGTTCATAAAAATACAAGTATATGGTTGGAACTGATGAGACCTTTGTGAAAAATGCTGAAGAAGTCCCAAAACAGTACAATTTCTGGTATATTATAGCTTTCATTCCAACACCAACACAAAGTTTGCTGTCACACTTGATGTGCATTTAAAACAATTTGCAAATAAAATATTGCAATCATTCCATCTCTCACACTGGTTATACAGTAGGCTTTGCATACATCAAATATGATGTACAAATTATATATGGAACAGTAATATTTTAGACTGACATCACTCAAAGAATCTAAAAACTGGTTCTATAGAACAATTGGTTCCACTTTTGACTTTTTGGAATTCAAAACTTGGAATTGATTCTGCACATTCATGCAGATTGTACATAATTTTCCAAAAACATTATGAACATATAATTAATTAAAAAAAAGTGTTTTGTGATCATTTGGTCAATTCACAACATTTGATAAAAGGGTATAGGGCTTATGTCCTTATCTCTATGGGGAGAGTCTAAAAGATTTTCTCAATAAGTTTAAAAACACTCACATTCTAGTACAACAAGGAAAATGTCCATTTGTCATTACTTTACAACCTAAAACCCATCCCCAAATAGTCATTTGCAGAGGTCCCACGGAATTCCTTCAGTTTGCACTGTTTTCTCTTGGTAATACTACACTTGAATACCACCAGTCCTTTGCCTCAATGTCTTTTTGTAATGTACTGATTTAACTATTGTCCTTTGTACTTTTTGTCAAAGTACTTAAGTACCTACAACTTGATATGAGTGCATATTTACCAAAAGACATTCTGACATTGAGGATAATGTTTAATGCAGGTGACCAGCCAATTATGCAAAACCTTCATAGTAACTTAAAAAAAAAAAAAAAAAAATACACGATGAATTTGTCAGGTTTTAGAATTCAGAAAAGGAAGATTTGAACACACTCCATACACTAAATTATTATTGCCTCACACTAAAACGATACGATAATGGTGCTTCATGCATTTCATAACCTTGTTCATTCTTGTATTGTTGGTGAGAATATATTTCAATACTATAATATTTAATCACAGAATTGATATCAAGTTTAGAAACTCATCCATATGTCACATTCACAATGATAACACTACATATGAAACTTGAAGGCAAAATTAATATTAAGTTAAATGTACATCTGAGCAAAGCTGAAGTAATTTTCAAATTTCAATTGGGAATAATCACACCTCAGAGAAACTTCATAGGTTCTGATATTAAGTTATAAAAACTGCAATGTTCAATGAAATGGAAAATATTTCAGATGGCTTAAATAGGAAATTAACTTGGATACACTCTGCAAGGAGTTCTATAGAAATTTATCACAATTTACTTTGATTATTCATTTGCACATGCCCAATCATGTAAATAATAATTCATAATTCATTGGCCACATTTATGAATATTTATGAATTAAGTGCTTCAAATAGTTTCTGTGTCTTTATATCTATAATATTGAAAACACTGAAATGAATACGGTTCTAAAGTTAATAACAATATTAAGCACTGATTGCTTGATAAACTTGGATTATTATTTATAGCTTTATAATATACTAATGACTGAAACCTGAAAGCAATATTAATCATTAAGAGATGAATGCAGAAAAATTTCTAGGTATGTAGTAACAAAATGTATATCATTGTGAGATTTAATAGGAAAATGCAATAAGCACAATTCATAAAAGTGTAGTAATGTGTTTTTTCTCAATCAAAACAAGTGTATCTTCAAACTGATTTTAAATATTCAAAGTGTCAACATTGCTCACATGTTCATTTCTTTTGCTTAGATGATGCAGAGTACAAAGTGCATTGAAGCTAATAAAATTCCAACCATGCATTGAATGCATGAAACATTTTTAGTATTGAACACTATTATTTAAAAGTAGTATTATAGTTTTGCATAGCAGGTGTACATAGCTTAAAGCTCATCACTTCACCTCATTAGTGGATTTAATTGGAGTGTTACTATTAGCTGAATCAAGAGTACTCGGCACAAAATTTATGTAATTCAAAATCAGCACCATGCTAAAATTATAAATTGACATTCCATATGAAGCACAACATTGGCACTTCTAATACTGAATTTCTCCACTTGTGAGGAAACTGATGATACTGTACAACAACATATTCACATGTATGTCAATGTAACTATTGTTTCAGTATTCATTTTTCACACTAAATGCCGATTAGAAATATAAAAAGATATAAAAATTTAGGATAGCAATATGCATTTGCATTCTATGTAAAGATTACTGTTGTTATTCACATTAATATAGTATATAACTATTCTCCTAAGTGTGGAATTTTCATTTTTTTATGTACAATGTAAAAATCATTTTGAAGAGACATATGGAGACATCACCACTGAGATCAACATCAACAATCAGAAACAACTTATAAGCAATAGTGAAACATAGCAAAGATAATAGTTCACAAAATGCAGATATATAAAAGGTTATGAAAAACTGGTATTTTGGATATCTTTTGTTTTTTGCCAAGAGCATACTTCCAACATTCAAGAGTAATAACTAATGTAGTATTAAAACAAGTTTTTTGTTTTTCCAATAAAATAATTGCAAAAGAGTAGAAAAAAATTTGATAATGACCTTTCTCAGTACCCAGAAAAGACTAGTATTAAAACTGATTTATGCAATAGCATTTTGTTCCTTAAATGGTTTGTTAATAGAAAGGTCAAATTCTCATGAAATAATTTATCACATTTTCTGGAATGCACAGTATGGCAAAGGTAATGAATAACTGATCATTACATTTCATATGATTACTTAATCCATTTTCTAAGAGTAACTTCTTTTAAAATTACAAAGGAAGATAACTAAAGTAGGTAATAGACAACTTTCTCCCAAAAAAGGAACAATATCCTTCCTACTCACGCTTTACCTAACATTTTGACAAATTATTCAACTACATTTTGGATCAGAGTTAAAAAGAAGTCATTCGCAACAAAAAATATATAGCAACATCAATAAGAGAAATCATGCAGAGAAGAAAATAAATGCATGAACAATGCAAAAGGCAAACATATTTTTTTCATACTAAATGTTGCCATTTGCAAATGAATTAAATTTATAATCTAGGATAAATATTTTTTGGGAAGTATAAATAATCCATGTTAAATAAATAATTATTTTAATACTGCTTCACCCGTTGTGAACAATACTTAGCTCTGGCCAAGTCACAAAACACTATACTATTAAATTGTGTAACATAAACAATATAACTCTAATGAAAATACTAGTTTATATTGTTTTTATTTTGTTAAATAGTTGATCAAATGCACAAAAATTAAAAACCAAATTTAAAAAAATTAAATAAAAAATTTAACACCCTTTTCCTGTTTGCAAACACACACTACTCTATATTTTCAAATATTTTATTTTCTACACTTACATGACAAGATATGGCTAAACAACGGCAATGAAATACCTGCCCTGACATATACAATTTAAGAATACAGTAAAATGTGACTTGGAATGCATAATTAAAAATTTCTCTATGTGAAAACATATCGAGTGGAAAGACACTGATCTGAGCGTTTGAAAAAAGAAACAAAAACTATTTTTGTGATGTCACCACTTTCGAAGAACAGTGCTCCAAAATGTCCCAAGTTCTTACAGATTTTTTTCACATTCTTTTTTTTCACAACTTGCTTAGGCTTTCAGCTTTTGCAAATAACTTGAGATATTTTGCAGTCCTAATGTCATTCTCGTAGAAAATTAATCTAAATTACAACACAAAATCTCTCTCTGTTAATAATCATCAGAGAACTATTACAAATGTAATTGAGAAAACCTTTCCACCATTACCATTCATATCAATGTTTTTGATTAACAGTTACACTTTTTGCACCTATGTGACATGAACTGCACTACTTTAAATGTGGTGATGGATGTAACCAGAGAATTATAACTTAAGCTATTTCACTGTACAGATAATACCAATGTTCTACACATTTCTAAATTTCCAATAATATTTATCAAAATGTAAAAATCACACCATGAAAAAAGCAGAGTAAATCAATTGTCAAATAGAATTAGTTGATTGCAAAAATATTTTGCACAAAATCGTAATTTTGTATTATTGTTTGTCATTTAGGTAAGGAGTTAGTCCTTGCATTTTGTGGAAGTATTTCACAAACTTATATATGAAAAAAAATGCATTTAGGTTTTGTCTTACCATTTGATTTACTCTGCAGTTTGCAAGCACTGTGACTAGAATGAATTTAAATATTTAACCAGGAGATACAGTGAAACTGCATGACAGTTCTCTCAACTTCTCCTGTTTCACCAAGATATCCAAAATTTATTTGCTTTTAATGACATTAAGTCATATGTACAGTCAACATGATTGTAATAATCAATTTTCACAGTAGAAGAATTTGCAATAATAAACACTGTACCAATATTTACTTTTGTAATGAATTCTGAAGTCACATTTTTTTCTGAAGAGAATTTATTAACAGGAGTGGTCAAGTGCCTTTAAGTCATTTGAGAGTAAACTGAGAAGCATTATACATAGGATACTAGTATATCCAACAGCAAAATTAAAATTGAAAATAAGAGAGGATTATGAACAACAAGTGTGAAAACAAGACTAGAACAAATGAGTGTCAAAAAAAGTCACCAGGATTAATCTGACCACAAAATTTTATAACACAAAGTTTGTGTACAAATAATACAAACTCAAAAAAAGCATACAAAAACAAATTCACACGCACCCACACACTTGTTCACTGTGATTCTTTCATCCAATTCCAATTTATCCATTTAACTTAGTAAATGTTTCTAACATTCATTAAAAATTTTGGCCACCAGTATTTAATACATGTTTCTGTCCTTTCACAATTTCTTCAAGCACACTGAAATTTCATAGTGAATTTTTAAAGTTACAAGATGTTACATGTGTAATGTGTTCATCTGAGATGTTTCAATTACAATGAAAACTTGGCACACTTACAAATGTACAAAAATTTTGTGTCATTTTTAATTATGTGATAACATGACTAACCTTAAAGGCTACCACAAACTACCGTAATGAGATTCATAATGAATCATATTGGAAAAACAATGACAAATGAAATTAGAATATTAAAAAATGAAAATGGATACTTGGATATGTCACATCCCGAGTATTTATATGTATAATGGTTCTCAGAATTTCCATTTCTTGAAGGAATTGAACAATATGCTGGCCACCTGATACAATATCATAATAATACCGTAATGCTACGAGAGCTCCGCTTAAAGCACTTCAAAGAGTGTCTGTACACCGAGTCTTATCCTCGCACATTAATTTGGCTGGCACTGAATACTGACAGAACAATGTTGGCTAATGCTCTTCCTTTTTGGCAGTAACACACACTGTTTCTATCACTGACTCACTGCCGGAGACTTCTTGTCAGAGTCCTGACTGGAAGGTGTGTTACCCTGTGGAGGCCCTCCAACACCTGTGGGGCCTCGGTCCCCCACCCCTGGCCCGCCCACAGGCCCACCTCCACCCCACGAGTTGGGCCCACCCGTCATAGGCGAGTCCGAGAAGCCATGGTTGTCATGGTCCAATGAGTTAGCAGCATCATACTGCGTGTTCTCCAGACGTGTTATGAGGCGTTCATCCTCATCTCCAAATTCACCGCCCATGAGAGATGGCTCACCTACCACCATCACATCCTGCCAGGGGCACACAAAGCACATTTCAAAGGTCTCCCTGGTCTAACATGCCTTACAATTAAATTTTCCTCTCCTTAACATTTCAAAGATATTATCAGAACTCAAAGCAGACCCTTTGACGCCTAATAAATACACTTAACTATGATGATACAATGACTGATTAGAGCACTCGCATGACAGTTGCAAGAAGCTTTAATTATAGAAGTAGTGCTCTAATGGATTTATTGCTGCAGTAGTTGCATAACAACAAATACTTGTTTTTGAAGACACATGAAAAGTTATTTGAAACATTAATATTATAACTTAGCGACTTAAGTAAAATATTCATTGCATTAAAATAAAACTGGTCTTTGCAATTGTCACAGATATTTTGAATAACATGTTTAATACATCACAAGGAAAAGTATTATCTCTTTCATTGTGATGTCCATATCAAATTAGTTTCATTAATAACTTTTATATACAGGAAATTTAAATTACTATACATCTCAAGAATAAGAGCGTGGTCATTACAACATATCATGTGCAAATTGTTGGGTGCTTTCTTATCTGAATCTCAAATGCTATTATATTACATATCTAGTAAAAATAAATTGATAAAACAATTTAATTTTGTCAATTAATAGTGACAATTGGATATAAAATTTTTAAATTCAAACATCTTTCATTATAAGATGATAAAAGATTTACATAAACACATCCAATATTTAATCTGCTGTGGTTCTGATATAGCAAGAAGAGCAGGTGTCTTAACAGGTGAGAAGTAAATCAGCTCACTATTTTTACTAATTTAAAGTGTATTTGTTTTTTTTTATATTTTGAAAACATAGCTTTAAAACATTTTTTGTCAACAAATTATGTTCTTTACAATTCTACCATTGTATTTCCACTACAAATATATTGTGGGTTATCCTTTGCAACAGGTCCACCTGACTGAAGACGCAAGCAACAAAAGGAATTCTGGAAAGTAATTTCAAGGCTAGGGTGCATCGTTTATCATATTTGTTAGCAGTGTTAAGTTAGAGAAAATTTTTATCAAATTTGCACCACTAAATATGCTTTAAAATATGAACATCAGTGCATAATAATACGAATTACTGATAGATAATCATCTATTTCTACATCAAATGGTAAATGTATGTAAAAACTATGTAAAAGTGCTTATGTAAAAATTACTAAAGGAACTTTGGTGAGCTTCCATTAGTGTTAAAAAAATGTATAACCCTCAAAATGAAGCCATCAAGAGAATAAAGACTGTTTGTTTACATTAATATCTAAAATTTAGTGATAACCCAAATGAGTAGATAAAATAATATCAATAAGTTTTATTGTGAATAAAATGTATATCTGAGGGATATTAAAAAAAGTTATTAGATATGGTGCTTACTTGTGACGCTAATGAGAAGTTGGGGCCTGGTGACCTCTTTTTGTTTGGTGCAGGAGGCGTGCTATTGGCTGCTCCTCCGGACTGAGAACCTTTCCTTTTCCGCCGTTTGTTGGCTGGCCGTTGTGATTCTAAGGGCAAGTACAAGTGTAAACACAGATAAAATGGACAAGAGCATGGAATATTAAAGTAAAAAACTTTATTCTGAAGATTCTGCAATATTCTGGTACTTCAAATCTTAACAAAATGTTATCAAAAGGAATATTTTGAAAAACGTTGCTGTAGTAAAGTAAATGAAATGTGAACTTGATAACAGGATTACATAATATTATCAGATAGACACCAATCTGTGAACTGAAACTTCTGGGCATGAATGGGGCATCCACCAGAAAATATATTGAAGTACAGTAGCAACAATATGGTAAGATGGCCAAATGATGGCAGAACAACACCATTCAATAAATGTAATTATAAATTGCAGAAGGCATTTCTTAAAGTATTTACTAGATGCCTTTCAAATTTTGTAAATATTTATGATGGAGAATTTGATTCTAATTTGTGTTAGTAAACAACGTATACAAACTGTTAAAAAAATAATACAGAATATCAAAAGCAGCATTATAATTCCATTTTTGGAATACTATCTTCAGTACCTTTTGACAGATTATGAAGGATACCACATAAATAATATAATTATTAATAATTTTGACACAGATCTGTAAAAGGTTTTGAAGTTGTACTCTGCCTTTAATGGGATTAAAATAGCTGAATAATAGCATGCAAGGCCCCATGCATCCCCAGAAGACCAGCCAAGATGGAATCTACCTCGCTTACCCGGCGGTGCCACCATTCGCTGCCACTTCTGGAACAATGTTGTCTTCAGGCAGTCCCGAGGGCTAAGCGCATATGCCTTGTGACGTGACATAAGCTCCTGCATTGGCTCAAGAATCACACATAGCTGAAAAATAGATTGTCAAGATAAATATATTATGCACCTTGTAACTCTTATAAATAGCCAACAGTTTAGGATGCATGCCTTTTCCAACATTATTGAACAACTGACAACTGTCTTAACTAAGGCTTGAAAGTTTATGAAAAATCATATTTTTAATTATGAGCTTTATAATATGCTAATTATCAAATGTCCACATAACACAATCAAATGAACAGAAATTCGGTGATTTTATATACCATATTAGTGCATATTTAGTGTATTTTGTGTTAATGTATCATATTTCCATTATATTTAAGTTATTATTCATATTTTATTGCTTTGTTGTTCTTAATTTGACATCACTTCACAAATGTGAATGCGATGCAAAGCTATTCATCAGAAATCATGGGAAAGTCTTTTCTTCGTTGCAGCTGTATTTGTCTGAACTTTTTTAGATGATATAATGGTGTTGATACCCCGAGACGATTTGTTTGATTATGAATGATGTGATAATATATCTTTGATAAAGAATTTGTAGCATTGTTACTTCGACATTGATACAGACAAAACTTATATTTTAATTTAAAAATGATTGGTGGAATACTAAGTGGAGACAAAAATCCAAAATTAATTATTAAAATTAAAAGTCTTGAAATTGTTCATGAATACCTAAAACTGTTAATTGTTAGAGAATATTTCATTAGTGTTGGCGCATATTTTATTAATGCTTGAAAATATTTACATGCATACTTCTCCTTTTGATACAGCATTAACTTCCAAGCCTTAGTCACAACTACTGAATGAATAAAAAAAACAACAGTTAATTTCTTATTACATTCTTATTTCATATTACATTCAGTTAATTTCTTATTACAGGGAAAAGTTATGTTTCAGGTGCAAGTCCTCAAGAATAGAAATAAAATTGTACGAAAAAGTCTTAACGTCATTTAAATTAACGTTTCTTCTTAATAACTTTATATGAAAGTGTGTTTTCAAGTCTACTATAATGACACTGAGTCTGACATATAATAAAATGAGAAAACCTACTTTATTATTTTAACAGTTAAAACTGTATTAATTTTTCACACATATCTGAAATGTTTCTATAAATTTAATGTTTTCTGCACACATATTTTCTTTTAAAAAAATTAGAAAATGTCCACAAAACATTTCACATCTTCTCAAGTATTTTCCACACAATTTTTAGAATATGAAAGTACTACATAACAATATCAAGCCAGCAAGAAAGTAAATCTATTGAGTCAATCTAAAGTTCACATTAAGAACAAGGTGTTGAAAAATAATTAAAAAATTATTTACCCTGAGGTAGTTGAGGGTGGAGTTGGTTATGCCCTGACGGGTAATGTTTTTGGCAAGCTGGTCCAACATTCCTGGATCCTGCTGCGAGTGCATTCCCACCACAGAACGTGGCACCAACTCCCGGTGTGTACGCACAGCAAAATGCCACGACTTAATGCGCATGAGGTCATCGAAAGTGAAATCCAGGATGAGACGTCCTTCTGTGCACACCTGCACAGACCACATAGCCTGATCAAAAGTAACCATGACGATCAAACTTGCAGATAGTCACTCATATTGTAAACTATATAAATCATCACTCTACTGCTTGTTATAATTTTTAAAATGAACAAAATAATACAAATATAATTTGGTAAGAAATCATGACCTAAATCTGAAATCGGAAAAAGTAACATTTCACTCAGGAAAACTCACTTTTGTAAACATTGGTTTGCCATGATGGGTCACCATTGTGCACTGATCACAGTCTAGAGTAATACTAGTGTTGTGGAAGGATTCCTTAGGGTGCTTTAGGTTGTAGTACAGCTCCGTTACACCGCCTTCAAAAATACTTCGGAAGTAGCGAGGGATCAATGTCCTACCTATTGCTGTAAATTAAAAAATATATATTTTGTAGTGATTTACAGACAAAACATAAAATAAAAGGACGATTTAAGAGACATGGTATTCACAAAAATATTTTTACTTACTATATCTTTTGGGCCCATCCTCTAAACAGAATGTTAATGTAAGCGTTGCATCGTCTTCAAAGAATTCAGTGGCGAAGGCATCCCACCAAAGGTTATCACTTTCCTGAACATAAAGCATGAAATGACACATTAAAGTTAATCACTGAATTCTATCATACTCTGAATAAGAATTTTAATACTTTGGACGATTACAGTTTTGCTGTTATATGTGTACGGTTGACTCAACAACAAAAACGAAATCTGTAACGTTACCAGCACCTTTCCTTTACCATCCTGCCAAATTCTTTTCAACTTGGTACCTGCCGTTCCCAACACTTTGGCAGTTAGTAACGTGTCCGAACTACCAGGCTCCGATGAACTAACAGATTCAATTTGCACTTCGTCAATGATACATGACGTTGATTGGCGAAAGGAACACAAGAGTCCTCGGGCTCGACGTTAAAACAGGATTATTACGTGTGGCGATGTGTGGGAATTGATAAACGACACGCGTATATCAAAACGAAACGGCCCGGGCTTTTCGTGCCCGCTGTCACGCGCTTCCGTGCGAACCCCGCGGCCGGCAGCTGCGCGATCATTACAGATAAATTTGACCCAACGAGGGTGCGGCGAAGGCGGGAAGGCATCGAAATTAAATCATCGCGTATCGCGCACGTATGACGAATTGCGTCGGCCGACGCGGTGACATCCGTCGCGCGCCGGGCATCCGCGCTGCCGCTGCCCGGGCCGCGGCCGGAGCGCAGCCCACCGCGCGGGAGCCAATCGGACGAATCACCGAGGACTGTAGTCTTTTCTACATAATTCGAATATTGTTCTTTAACTCAATTCCAAATTCCCGTTTATTTAATTTTAAACAATTATAAAAGGCTTCTCCCTACAAAAACGTGCCTCCCAACTCCAATGCTTCACGTCTCGCTGGTGTGCATAACACACAACATACCTCATTAAACCATACGGAAAGAACCAACTTCTTTAAAAGAAAGCAGTGAAGCTACCTGATTCATAAAAACACATGAATCAGCTTTCGGATTTCGCAATTTTAGGCGCGGTTGGTTACGGAAAAATGAAAATGAATTACTTCGAACACGTAGTAAAACACCCTCCTTTTGATCGCACACACCTTTCCAGGGCGGGCGCGACTTCCGTCGCTTGTCTGTGTTGCGAGTGTCCGAGCGGACGTCTGTGCGGTCGCGGGCGGTCTTGGCTTCATGCACTGGGTCGAGGCGTCGCGCCGGGACATCATTCGCGCAATCCGTTAAGGGCCCTACGCCTGTTTCCCCGCGCATTTGCGTACAGCACAAATCATAGGTGACGTTTATCTCGCGCGCCAACACGGAAAGCGGACGGGGCAGTGCCTCGCGGTGCGATAGAGAAGCCGTCGCCTCGACGCAGCGAACGGACTACCGGATCCACTTCCACGACGTTCAGAGAGCGAAGCGAAAAGGAAGGAAATGAAGCACGACAAATAACTATGGAATGGATTTAGATTACGACCTGTAATGATGATGTACTATCCGACTACACACAAATCCTGGTCACAACACGTGTTATTATTCACTGAGATAAACAGATACATTTGTCTCAATATTGCACTTACGTGATCAATGAATATTTTCTAGTCACTGTATCAAGGTTTTACTGCCATTTTAAAAGTATTTCCAGCCAGTGAAGTATTAAAACACCCTTTCCAATGATCGATTCAAACTTGTGACTGAACATGTTATTTCATATTTACAAGAGATCTTGATACACGTTTAACAACTGTAATAATATTTAAACCAACTGTAATAATATTTACTTGCGTAGGAAAGAAGGTATTATAAAGCTACAGCGAAATAGCGATTTTTCGGCAGAAAAACTCCTATTGTGGGTTCCTGGCACAGAAAAAAAATGGATAAATCTTCCCGTGTACGTCGTACATTACTTCCTCTAACACGTTGAATAGCCAGAATCCACGTTTTGCGGGTCCCTGATTTCCAAAAACTGATTTACGGCAAAACGTCTGGCTGTCCGAGGTCAACACTGGTGCCTACACCATTAAGACGATTTTCTCCAAAATTTCTCTGGTTCGCGCATCTTTAAAGTAGAGTTTCCAATAGTTACATTTTAAATATTTTTTTACGAATTGTTAAATTAAATATTTAGTTTAGTATGTTAATTTCAAAGAACTAAGAAGTTTGAAACGTATTGTGGAATGTGGGTGTAATTTATCCGGATAAGTAGAATAACATTTTATTGACAATAATAGTAATAATAAAGAAAACTATTATATTTGAAGATCCATACAACACTGATATAACTTTTGCGTATTATTCTTAGGGTTCAAAAGTTTGTATAAAAACACCGTCTGGCGGCCTTTCAGTTCCCCAACGACGTGTTTCTCAATGCTCGTTTCTGGGAGAAGGGAGAGATAGCTTCGCCACTATACCTGAGTTATTCCATAGCTTGCCAGTATGCATTCACGCGGGATATGCTTAAGAAATTCATTTAGTTTTTTTTAAGTGGCACAGCTATCAACGAAACATCATTTCTTGAACACATCTCGCACATATTTGTTCTACATCGGAAGAATATGATGTCTTTAGATTAGTTTTTGGAATTTCTTTCTCCATGACACATAAATAATATTTCCATACAAATAAATATTAAATTACTAATTGGTAAAATATAGAAACATTTTTGTATTAGTTATTTAATGAATAAAATCAAGAACTATGAATTAAATTTTCATCTAATGATTACTGATTACGAAAATTGTGAACGAGAAGTTTAACCAGTGGAATACATGTTTTAAAAAAACTATTCGAGTAAGTGTATTCTTAACTCACATAACAGCAATTTAAAGAGACCTCTAAATACACCGAAACGATAAAATCTAACCAAGACTTTAAACATAAGATGCGGTTTAGTTGGATTTGTGTTAGTAAAAATTATACAATTTCTTCTTGTATAATTCAAACAATAACAGCAGTTTGGTTTTTAATTTAAATCTGATTTACATAAATAGTACGATTTAGATTCAATTAATCGTACTTTCTTATTTAAAAAAAAATCATACTTATAGAAACCATAATTTAAACGATGTCCCAGAGGCATTAAAATATACAATATACTACTATTACAGTGCACTTGGCAGATCATTTGGAAACTTACCATTTCCTCTAAAATACTTATACATATGGCAGAAATCAATGTGTCCCAACTGTCCTTCAAAGTTAGTTCTAGTCAAATTCCGCCTAAAGGTAGCTCTGCATCCTTGACTAGGGTAACCCAATGTGTATCGAGTAATCCACCTTCCGAATATGATTTCGCGGACCCGAAATAGGCCCAGACATCAAACGCGAGAGCGAAGTGCAAGTAAACGATTATCCCGAACAGGTGAGAGGAACGGAAGGAACGCCCCCTCAAACTTTAAACAGTTACGGAGATTATACGTAATTACGCGATATTGAAACTCCGCGGCGAGAGTTTCTGGAGAAGAGCATATTTCACCGAAGACGCAACTCCCGCGGAGTATCACGGATGGCCCTTTATTGGCGAAGGAAAGTGAAATGATACGTTCTGCAAAGATCAAAACTTGGAAATCAATACGAAACTTGCGTGGACTCGCGAAGACGGGAAGCGCCGCCGCGCCGCCGTCCTGTCTTCATTCAGCCCCCGCGCGCGAAGTTCACCCTAGTTGCAAGGTCAAGTTCGGACTTCGCCGAACAAAGCCCCGTGGAGTTACCCCAAGTTTGGTCAAGTGCCTCTAGACTTATTGCTAATAATAATTTCCCTTCCGCTAGGAGGCCTAAAAGTTACTTCCAGCGATGGAAAACTCGTTTCAGAGAGACGAGTCGGCGAGGAGCACGCCCGCTTTAAACAAACATCAAGACGCATCGCGACCCCCTGTCGTGTTCGGCCTCCTAAGATTTCTTCGCCCTAATTCCACAGTACGTTGATGCTTTTCAGCGCATTTACGTACAATCTTTCTAAAACCATACCGTCAATTATTCATAAATGGGAGTTAAACAAAACTGATCTGAACTATAGTCAGAATTCAAACGCAGCAGAACTCCTAAAGCTTCAAAATGATCAAGAATGAACATATCTAATGTTGTATGGCTTTTAAAAAAAAACCTTCATAGCATAAAAACAATTACTTTCAATTCAACGTTCGAGAAAGTCACGCTTGTTTTCCCCCTCATTAATGTATTTACAGTGAAACCTCTCCAACACACCAACCCCTCTCTATGGCCGATTTCTCTTGGAACGGATACAAACTGTTGTATTGTATGTAAATCGTACTACTGTTAACAGATCATGCCTCTCTGACAACCGACCAGCCTCTTAATAGCAATTTTTGCAATTTATCATTTTTAAAAGACCACTTAGTGAGTCGGAGGTGAAATTGTAAGAATTCAGTACACCGAATTTTCCGGGTTCAAAGCGAAAATTGACGTTGTGAACCGCATTCGCGAGACGGCCCGTGCCTGAGCTTCAGTTCTACAGAAAACTCGGAGCGGTGAAGGGGATTTCGGAATTATGTAACAATACGCTGTGGCCATTGGTACCAAGGCTGCTCGCTTCATTTCTGGTTTCTTTTCTTCTAATGTAACGGAGGACATAAAAGCAGCCTAACTTCAATTCATTTTAATTAACAGAGCCTTCCTTATCTTTTTTTTTTTTTTTTTTGAGGAAGAACATCTTGTATATTAGGGTTATCGACTCATCCAACACGTGTGGGTTTTGCACCCGAAAATGTGCTCAGCGCTCACCAAAAGCACACTTTTGATTTTTGTATTTGGGCGAAGTGCGAGAAAAGCGAATCATACATACCCAAATGATAACTTTTGAAAATACTAAAAATGTAAATGATTTAAACGTTTATTTTTAACCAACGGAAAGAGAAATATTTTTGAATCTAATAAAATATAGTAAGTAAATCTACATATACATTTAAGTCAAAATGGGCAAAAAAAAAAAAATAAGTTCGTGAAAATATTTTTCAAAACGCGTGCAGATACCACACTATAATATGTTAGATGTTCATTAGAATAAAATAGGCCCTTCCGTAAACATACAATGTTTAGTGATAATACACATTTCCCCCCTCTAAAAACAACTTTTTCATTGAACAAACAGTGACGGCTTAATGCAGGTTTTACTGTAAATGTTTCATACGTTTCAATGCCTTATATGAGATTGTATCATTACTGTTCAATTTCCTAATTACGATTTAACTTTGTTCCACTCCAAATTTTATACCAAAGAAAATAATATCAACAGCGTCGAGCGAGAACATGGTAGTCCCTCATTCACACATCAACTCTCGTTTCTCTCGAAATTCAGAATGGAAACAGTACACATTTTCAGTCGGTTTTCATTTTCAAATCCGTCTGAAAATGTTAAAAAGCGCTTTCAACCACATCATTAGGAATTACTTTCCCCATGGATAATAAACTTTTTTAAGAAGAAGAGAATGCAAACTCAGTGAGTACTCGAATACCAGAGGATTAGGTCTTCCCTTAGTGGTTATTCACCTCATTCGTGATAGTGAGGTTCATTGGCTTCAAGCACTTCGCAATGCAAGTTTCAACTGGGCAGCTCCTTAGCTATGTATGTGAGAAGACTTTAATACTTTACTTCTCCGTTCAGCGCTCCCCTTTTTACTGTAAACATCCAGGAACCACACAAGACGCAAACACTCGGCACCACAAATGTCTGTAAGCGGCTTTACGAGTGCGTGGAGACCCAGGGACCTTTCCCCCTGGTAACATCTTAAAAGGGGTACACAAACCTGCGCACGCGCGCCCTTGATAGCAACAGCCACGTTCTCACCTCTGTCCTCTGTTGTAGCCTCTTGTTGAGCTCGTAAATGCGATAGTCAGGTTGTCCGAAGTATGGTGTATGACGCCTGGGTACAGGAAGAGATCTAAAAGAAGAGAGAAAAGAAAATATTATTATTTTGCCACAGGAGCTTGAAGTTAGTTGAAGTTTGCAATGTGCATCGAGAAATTAGGGCAGTGGAAAGGTAAATTTAGGTACTGATTATATACACAGAGATTTTTGTCAAGAGAGCCAATAACTGCCATCTCATTTGAATCGCTTATTTTATTCCCTATTTAAAAGCTAACAATCTCACTAAATAGCGTAAAATATTAATAAGGGAATTTCTGCCGCATGGTATATCCACGACAACGTAAACGGTAATTAAAACGTCTACATACAAAAATTCTTTATGCACTTAAAAAGTAAGAAAAACAAAAACACATTTTAGGAGCTAGGTAGTTATCAGATCTAAAAAAAAGCATTTTTCAAAAAACAAATTTAAAATTCTACGTGCGTTGATTTCCATATGCGTGTAAGATTTGTATCCCGTCTGTGTTGAAAATATCTTTAAATTCGATAGCGTGCGGACGCCATTGAACATTGATACCGGGCTTTACTTTTCCCGTGTTATAAAAATGACCCTCGCGTGCGTTGACAGCTGTCAACAGCAGCTACATTCGACTCGCATTCTGGGAAAGTCACAAGAGTAACACGTGATGCAACCTACATTTGCTTTTCAAGTGAATGCGTTTTCCACAATTTTTCTTCAAAAGTCTTAGAAATATTCAACTTTAAAATCGATAAAATATTAATTTTTATATATAATTTTTTTTAAAACTATGTAACTGTGGAGGGCTAGTAGAATTGCCAATAAATTTTCAACGCCTAAAATTACAGCAAAAATATACTATTTACAGATCCAGGCCATAATAATCAATTAGTAGCACGTCGCAGATTTGGTTTTAGGAAATGCATTACAACTCTATTGTTCCAGTGTACTGGAAACAAGCATTGAAGTAATTACATTCTAATTCGAAATTTTAACAGAGCATTCAAATGGGGAACGCAGGATGGGATTGATGACAAGTGCTTTTCACAGGAGGCGAAACACATTGAAACAAAAGTACCACACATACACATAAAACACATTAACAAACATCTATGAAGCGTTTAACAGCACATTTATTACAGCTACTGTTCATCAGTGATCAACTAATTAATAAGCAAACACACGACATTCAAGACCTCAAGCCAATCAATAAGCCGCGCTAGATTAACGTGAGAATCGAGCGGGCGAACGCCGCTACGGGACACCACATCAAAACCCGCACAAAGCTTTATGAAACCGTAACGATATATTAATAAGGGGATAGATAACCCCACCAACGGCACTCCATAAAAAGCGACGCCGTGTCAACAAAACGTACATCAGCGCGCGGGGGTGGGAGCGTACGGACGGGTGGGGGGAGCGTACGGGACGGGTGGGGCGGGGCGGCCGTTCGCGCGTTCGGGTGTGGGGATGGCGCGGCGCCGAGGGACGGGGAGGAAAAACTTGACGCCTAATGCGTCTACAGCCCCCGAGGAATGTTCCGTAATGTGCCGCGTCAACTTTTACGAGCAACTATTTATTACGAGCTCGCGAGCGAGAGCAGGGGGATGGGTGGGTGCACGGGCCGGCAGACGAGCCAGAATACTCGGCACGGGTCCGTGGCGCGAGGCGAGGAGTGGTGTGTGTGTGTGTGGCGCCCTCTGCCGCTCCTCCGGTCACGCCGCTGTCCTCTCGACTCGAGATTCTGCCCGCTCCGCCATTTCCTGGTCCCTCCCACCGTTCAAGCGAACTCCACACGAGCGCTCGCGTTCATTTCAATTTGATTTACAGAACGAACTGAACGGATTTTAGCACAGACCAATTGATTTAGAGAACAGTGAAGTGAATCGAATAACGAATTTTATCATTGGATGCGCTGTACTGTGATTTATCTTCCTGCGGTTTGCGGGATCAACTTGCAACAATGTGCAGGTTGACCACACTTCTGTAAACTGTTCGTCTGTGTGCAGTTGCTGATGTAATATCCGTGTTATTGAAGAATAAAACTTCACTAAAAAGCCGTCAGTTCTTTTATCCCTATTAGTCAGCGCATTGGCGTAGCAAAGACATCTTGCGCAATATTCAATGCAAACATTTCAACAATACAGAATCATCAGTTTCGGTTATCTGAATTCGAAATAAATATTCTTATTACATATAATACCTAACGTAATTGTAATTGGATTGATTGACTGATTACAGTTTCTAGGCGCGTCAACTGTTAAGGTCGTTAGTCTCGTAAGTGTAGTGCATGTTTTATCGCGAGAACTGGCGATAATTTTCCGCCGCTAGATGACGATATCCGGGGTTTGACCTACGACAGCTTACGGGGAATTTCCCCCCACCACTACCCCACTACCATCGCGGCACCTCCTAATCCGGGACAAACTAAGTACTCGACTGGTCTTCCGACAAATGTGCTAGTGTAGTGCATGTACGTAAATGTGAGTGTGTGTAAGTAAGAGGTGAAGATAGGACAAGGAAGATGATGGAATGATCGCGCGCGCTCCGTGGCTGTTTCTAGAGTACTGCTCCTGCATTTACCTGGTGTTGATCGGAGAAACCACGTAAAACTACCGATCAAAGAAGCTGGCCGCTAAAATTCTCCATACTGCGGCTAAATTCGACCTAGCTGTCGTAGTGTTGAAAATTCAGCCCCCCTCCCCTAGGACCTCCTGGTCAGAGGCACTGCAGTGACATCAGTTGTTGCCCTGAGCCACTTTCACTGCTAATTGAAACGGAAGGTTATGCGTGATTGCATAATAAAGTCCGAAATATATAAGTGCTTAATATGTTTAAGAACTTCGGCAAAAATGAATTTACATCTATATTACTTGACACGATGAACATAACTACAAAGGTCAAAGAATTCTTATACTGAAGACGAACATTTCCAATGTTCCCACACTCACGATTCTCAACGGTCTCGATGTTACCATTACTATTTAATTTATATAAATCCCCTTCAGAGGCCATATCTGATCTAGGCGCTACCCACTCATGGTCTCCTTCGCAAAGCAGTGTAACAAAAAAAAACCCTCAACCTCGTCTCAGAGGTAGAGGGAGGAGACGAGTGCACCCCTTGCCCCTCCCACAGGGGCCGGCGCGCCGCGCCGCGCGTGGCAGATTCCGCGCCGATACTTCTGTCTGTCGATACGTCAACCGGCGCGTGCCCGCCTGTCAGCCACGACGCGCCCGCACCGTATATAACCCTGCCTCCCAACCCCTACGTCCCCGCCTCCCGCCCTCCCCCCCTCGCCAGGCGGGACGGGTCCTGCTCCGCTGCGCGCTCAGCAAAGAGTTATTACGTTGTTACATGGAAAATCCTCGACTACTGACGGCCGTCTTTGGTCGCAGAAGCAAGACGAGAGGATCTACTACGCGAAGGGCTGAAAAGTGGCTGATCGAGACTCATCGTCTGAAAAGCATTATCGGGCTAGGGAAACACGATTCCTTGAGAATTATGAGCGTTAACGGTCATCGTGGATGCGGGAAATTTATTACAGAACACATCGGAAGCAAAAAAGTAGTATCATATTTGAAAGGCACTAACTTTGCTCTCAAAAGCCAAGCAAGCCAACGGATCATTGGCTAAAGGTTTCGTTACAATAACATCGAATTCGTAATTGCAGATGCCATACTAATTACTCGTAGGTTTTTATAGTGAAGAAAATCGGTTCCGTTTTCTCCGGATAATCGAAGTATTAATAAGATGCCCAGTCCAATCGACCCGACGACAATTTTAGACTGTCGGCTAACCATACCTACAGAAATGTTTCACTCAAACCAGTTCATGGTCGTATCTCACACGAATTTACCTTTGCAATTTTTGGATGAAATTTGAATTATGGAAAATAACCCTTATATCTGAAATCCTCTCTTGAATTATCAATCTGTCCAAATCCAAGCACAAATCTGGTTTTTTAAAACTATTTTCACGTCTGAAAAAGAAGTGAAAATGCTTTTACCCCTGTTAATAAGTGCCTTCTTTCTCGAGAAAGTTTTCGCAAGTTACTAAATGTTCGGAAGGAAATGAATAATTTAACAAATCTGTGAGTTTTCGATCTTCAAATCAAGCACAAGAACTGCGCCTTCTAGTAATTCATTTGCTTATTCGGTGTCATCCAAGCACCATTACGGTAATTCAAAATTCCCTTTACGTAAATTCTATTAATTCCAAATTTGGTGCGACCAGTGATGTGTCTGACCGCTTGCCTTACATCTATGAGAAACTGGGTTCTAATCGCGGTCTATCCATGAGAAATTTTGGTGCGCGGCTGGTTTTTCTATTTCCCTCAGCCTCTCATGCGCCCGTTGCTCTATATTTCAAATCAAATCACCTTTAACATCTCTCATCAATCACCTACTTTTCAAACAGTTTATCTCAGGTACGGGCGAAATGAAAAGGCATGTAGATACTGACAATCATAATAAATATTAATTACGAAATGAAATATCCAACAGTTTCCATACTCCAAGCGATTATACAGTAATTGACTGGGCGAAGGAAACTTTATGAAGAGCATATTGATCGGAATTTACACGGACAGCTCCTGTCAGTCTGAAATTTCGGTTGATGCCTGTGAGCACAATTATGCTCGAAATTTGGACTGTAACGTTTATTTTCTTAGAATCTTGACCTCCTTTTCATTATTTCTACTCATCTTTACCCAGTCTCCCACCATTTCAAGAGCAAAAATGTCGAGAGGAACGCACCTTCTCAACAAGATACAAGTTGAACCGTAGCTGTCATAACGACAGTCTATGGCATAACCCAAAATACTCAACCGCATGCCCCTGAACAATACGATGAATAAAATCGCGAAGGATCGCAATACGAGGCCCACTTCGAAGGAGGATTCAAATGCAGCGCGTCTCTCCCTCGCCCTGCAGACCCGGGCTGAGCGTGTGTCCGGCAAGGCGAGGTGAGGCGAGGCGAGCAGCGACGGGCAAAATCCTTCCGCCCACCGCCACGCGCGTCCGCGCCGAGCGGGGGAGGGGGTGGGGCTCGCCGCGCCGCGCTCCAGAAATAGTGCTTGTGTATATTCCACCTTCTCGCGTATTCTCACACAACTTAATAGCAAAAAACCTCGTCTGTATATATTGCGGGCGGAGAAAATGTTTAGGTTTAGAGACGGCGACGTGCTAACATAAAACTAAGAATAGAAAAACCTTCGACCCAGATCGATCGAGCTCAACTGCCATATTGACGGAGAGAACTGGGTCGAGCGAACCGCGCGCGCGGAGGGGCGGTGCGGCAACGACGGCGGCGAGTGGGGGTGGCGTCGCCGACGCCGCTGCTACTGCAGTCGCCGCGCGACTCCGCATCCCCTCGCTGCCCGCGGCTATGCAGGTTCGCGTTCTCACGAATTTACGGAACAATTTCGTATCCTCGCTATAAGCATTACAAATCGGCAGGAGGGAATTATTTAAATTGATTTTTAATATTAACCATTATTTACCAAATTTCAAAATGTTGAATGGAATCACAGAACAGAAATAGTATAATTAAGCCCCAGAGAATTACTGTTGAACAAAAAATATCTTATTTTTCCTCTAAAATATACGTTTCATCTCGATGAATCGACTACACCTACCAGAGTCTACCAGAAATCATTTAAAGCTTTACACGCCAAAAAGGAAACAAGTGAAACATTCCAGTCACGGGGACTGAAATGTATTGCTTTCGAAATGAGAATAGAACAAATTTCAGAAACCGACATAATGAATTAGTTCAAGATTGAATGTGAAATCATTTAAAAAGGCAAGAAGATATAATTATGTAAACTAATTTTACTAATACCTAAGATAAAGTATTAACAATTATAATGTCTACAACGGACAAAAATTAAATAAAACTTCTTGAAAATGAATACGTGCGTCGCAACATACCAACTGTCTCATCGGATCTTAGTTTACAATATAAAATATTGTAAATATTTGTGTCAATAGAAACGTCGACAAATGTCCCCTGTCAGGAAACAGAAAACGTATCCAGGTCTACAAATCACATTCTCTGAAACAGCGCGCCTCCCTAAACAATTACCTCTTCCATTCAAACAGTGCGATATAAATAAGCGTGCACTGTTAGCTTCCCGTAGTATCCCCTTCGTGTATGAATGAACCTACAATAAAGAAGGAGAAAGTTAATAAGCGGCCAGATAAACCCCTAGCCCAACCGCATCGGCTCGTGGCGCACGGTTAAAGAGGCGGCCGTCGTTCTCAATTAGCGCCGTCTCTCAATTTGGCAAATGGCCCTTCACGCCCGTCCGCGCGCCTCGCCGATGTTTTCACGGCGCTGCCGCATCCAGAAGGCGGCGGCGGCGGCGGCGGCGACGTGGTGTTCCCAAACGACCGGGCAACAACGAGGCAAGCGGGCGCCCTCACCTAGGGATGCCTGGCCCGCGGTCGGAGACTCACAGTGAGTCAGATCGCGAAAAAAAATGGAGAAAAATAAGGCAATAGAATTACTCCGAGAAAGGAAGGCTCTCTGGAGAGAGGCCCTGGACACTAGAGGGTGTTCTATAATATATCGTAGGGTTTCGTGCTGTATGCTTCAATAGCCTCTTTCACATTGTGCATAGATGTTTAGAAAGAATACACTGCTGCTCTCTTGGAAGACTAGTTTGGAAGGTTTATGAATACTTAGTATGTAGAAGTCGAAGTAAATTTAACGGTATAAGGGCCACGTACGCAAGATAAATCTTTCTAAAACCATGACAGCACTGATGAGAAAATCGAAAGTAGTGTACAGTATTAGTGATTTATTAATCGCAAATTTGTTATTTGATTCTCATTATAAATATAAATAGGCTTTAATGTTGTAATTAGATTATTCAACTCGATCCTCCTCAACTTCGTCAAAAACGTGCATTTTCGAATTTAATCTAAGCCACTATTCGTTGCCGTCGGATCGTGGAGATAATGTGCGCATAACGTGAATTTCGCCACAGAAATTCGGCTACTTTTACTCGTTTATTCCGATAAAAAATGTTAAATACAACGCAATAGTACATTTCATAATGCACCTTCATACTTGACAAAAATATATTGAGGTCAATGCTAACATGGAGAATAGAAAACAGTTCGCTCACACACTGTAGCTTGTACGTCATTAATAAGTTTTACATCAATGAACAACACACAATAATTTCATAGAATACTTTAAATGTGTTGTGTTTTATTTAAATTAGCTATTCAGAATTTTCCCATGGCAATAACACATTTGGATCCACGAATATATAATTTTGGAGTCTTCTGCCTCACAGTGCGAGGGGGGGGGGGGCAGTACAGACTGACGGGGGACCTCGTGCCGCGCCGCGCCTTATCTAAACAAGGCGGCCCGCGGAGAAAACCCTATTTTTAATCGCAAACCCCCGCTTACCCCCCCCTCCCTCGGGGCCTAGCGCGTCACACGTGCATTTGGACGCCTTTATTTTTAGGATCATTCGCGAGAATGCAGAATTTTATTTTTTGTTTTGTTTGGATTGGTTGGCTGGACGGACGTACCTTTTCAACGCATTGGAAAGACGGGTAGCTGAACAATTCAGGAGATGAACTTTCCCGAAATGGACTTCAAAAAGTACGCCATGCTAACAGAAGGGAGAAGCGAATCAATACAGCCCTGTTCCTCAAATAATAAGTAATACCTCTTCACTTTTACAAGAATAACTGCAATATAGCGCTCTATTTTCAAACTATTTATAACGAAGTCCAGCGTCTCCCTTGTAATTCAGTGTATCAACAAAAGCCAGGCAACTGTCCCGTTTTCTGGATCGATCATCGTTTATTATTTATAACATTCGTCAATACTAACGTAGGTCGAACTTAAATACACGTTTTGTTGTATATTCTTGTTATGAACCGCCTCCGCTTTTGTGCATCAGACAGTGTACTAACGTGCACGCCACAAACACATTTACATGAAAACCGTGATCTGAGCAGTTCTTTCATTACAATGTTGCCCCTCCATTGAGCAGACAACTGAAATCCAATAATTATAACTTACAAATACTCGTACTTCTTACCACGTCGTTAGTCCCATCCGCATGGTGTGGGATCCTCAATGGCGCTTTAAAAACTGCAGAATAGTGATAAAGAATCGCAAGATTTAGTTCGTTCCCAAGGAATCCCCTTCTACACAAACACGCATGCGCGTAAAATGACATATAAAATTATAAATCAGTAGCTGGTACTTATTTACCATAACATAAAACATATGATTTCATTTTCCCCGGCATAGTTTCCCAGTTTCCGCGATGTCTCGAATTACTACTCTGTGCACAGATGGCCTTTATGAGTCGTCCACCAGCAGCGACTGGGACATTACTTGCCTGAATCATAATTCCATCACAGCTTGATAAGGCTAGTTTTACAACTGGCACGAAATGGTGGCCTCGAATTACGACTCTTACACAGATAAGAATTATGTCGATAACAATTTAGAGAAAGTAAAGTAAAATTTAAAACATTATAGCAATAAAAGTATATATACTTTAATTGCTATGTTTTAAATAATCTGCGATAATATGCAAAGAAAAAAGTTAATTCCATCGCTGTTTTTAATGGAACACGTAAGTGGTAAAATG